GGTGGGAAGGAGCCTTGTTACCAGCAAGATCAGACGGAAAATGATTGGTCCACCTTCAAACTTCTTGCTGGGCAAGAGGGACTGGCAATTGAAGTCAGTCACTAATGGCTCATGATCAAATGTTATCCTGCCTATATAATAGCACTTCAACCAGAACTCGGAAATCAGGATACAGAATTTTCTGTGTAGATGAACAGATCATCATGCTGGGAGGATAGTGAGCATTGAGACAACATGAAAGTTCTGTTTCCTCCCGCCCCCCCCCCCCCACCTTCCATTTTTTGCAATGCCTGGGTTTGTTCCGTCTTTCATAATAAAACTGCGAAAGCAAATACATTGCTTTCCTGAATTCAGTGAGTCATCCTAGAAAATTACATTGAGACACCAAACAGCAAGATAGGCATTATTGAACAGGGGCAAATCTTGGACTTGGTTTCTTGCAGTGAGCAGAGGGGCAGAATGAATATGGGACTAGAAGATCAAGGACAATAGTGGAGGATCATTGAACTTCAGTCACGGTCACGGTCCCCCCCGTTGTTATCAATTTGCTTGAGCGGGCCCAGTAACATCTCCATCGTGAGACTTGTTACTATGTTTTGGCATATCGAATACACCACGGGTAGCTTGCCAGGCTCTGCCTTGCGGGCGAGATACTCTCGGTAGCTTGCCGGGCTCTCCGAGAGGGGCGGAGGAATTGAACTCGGGTCGGCCATATTGGCTGTGTGCAAAGCAAACGCTCTACTGCTGTGCTATCGCTCCAGCCCAAACTAACTTTTAAATAATTAAAATTATTTAGTGTCAAAAAACAATTGTGATCCTTTTCAAGAACTGTGATCACTTTCAGTGTTTGCCTCATGTTTATTGTAACAGAACAAGTGGTAATTCTTTACTGTTTCTTTAGATATTTACCAAATCTGAGTTGTGCCACAATACATTGAACCGAAAGACTAAATTGTAAGGTTTTATGTATGTGTTTATCCTGAATTAAGCTCTAGGTAGATTGTTTAGAATTTTACTGGGCAAGAGTATGCAATAATAACAAAAATTCATGCTAGTACAATTTTATTTGTGTAGTTAAATGTTGCAAATAAGAACCCTAAAAATACAAGTCACTGTCACTGTCCTCCCATTGTTCATCGATTTGCTCGAGTGGGCCCAGTAACGTCTACATTGGAGACTTTGTTGTTACTGTGTTTGGCATATCCAATACATCACGGGTAGCTTGCCAGGCTCTGCCGTGAGGGCGAGATACTCTCAGTAGCTTGCCAGGCTCTCCGAGAGAGGGTGGAGGAATCGAACTCGGGTCGGCCATGTTGGCTGCGTGCAAGGCAAATGCCCTACCGCTGTGCTATCGCTCCAGCCCAAAAATACAAATAATTTTGGTATTTAATTTCTATAGCTAAGGTTTTTAAAATGAAGTGAGGAATTCAACATTTTCCATTCAGGTTGTGGCTTCACCATGCTTCTCAGACATTGACATTGTCCACTTGGCTCTAGTTTTATCATCTGAATAGTATATTCAAATAAACCTAATTTGGAAATAAGGAAAAATGAAACACCATAGGTTCCATCAAATACATGTTCTGAATAAGCCACAAACTGATAGAAATATGAAAAATTATGACCTAGGAAATGTATTACCACTATGAGTAGTGCATAGGAAGATTTGGGGATTTGAGTTTGATTAATACCAAATACTATCATGATCGGAGGGTTTTTAGTTTTTCTATTATACAACTTACCATTTAGGATCATAGAAAGTAAGGAATCATGTAGCAAAAATACTCTGGAGAAACTATGTGCCAATATCACTTCAGAAAGGCTTTGCTTTAGTGGGAGTCAAAAGTCGAGGTGGTCTCATTGTCCACAGGAATGTCCACAAATGCTACTATGTGTCCTTGAAAATTAAATCAGTGATCTTATTAAACGTGTATAAAATGCTACTCATGGTAACAACAAATAAGTTATAACTTTGTCAAATAACATTACAATAATAACTAACTTAAAAACCAAAGTACATTATATTTCCTAGTTCTTAAAGTTTCGTTGCAATAAGCAGTGTTAAGGGGCTGGAGCGATAGCACAGCGGGTAGGGCGTTTGCCTTGCACGCAGCCAACATGGCCGACCCGAGTTTGATTCCTCCGCCCCTCTCGGAGAGCCCGGCAAGCTACCGAAAGTATTCAATATGCCAGACACAGTAACAACAAAGTCTCCAATGGAGATGTTACTGGGCCCGCTCGAGCAAATCGATGATCAACAGGAGGGCCTTTACCTTTACCTTTACCTAAGTAAATTTGTTATGTGCCCAGCGGATTGGATTGGGAGGAAAACTGGGGTAGTGGTGGAAGGAAGGTCATACTAGTGGTGTTGGAACACTAAATGCTGGAAACAACTACATGATAAACTACTTTGTGAATCAAGGTGTTTTTGATAAAAAATTTTAAATAAATAAAAAGTGTTCCAACTTAAAAAAATGTTTGCACAGTTCAGTTTTAGACATATAGAATAGTTTTAGGCAATAGAATATTATACCACCAGTGGCAACTTCCCTCTACCAATGTTTCTAGGTTCCTCCCATACCCACCCACCTCTGCCCCACCCAACTAGCCTGTACTCTTTATTTTATTTTATTTTATTTCTATTAGTGAGACACTATGAGGTACAGTTGTAAACTTACAAATTTTTGCGCTTGGGTTTCAATTGTACAATGCTCGAGTACCCATCCCTCCACCAGTGCCCATTTCCCACCACCACGGATCCCAGTATTCCTCCCACTCCCCATTCCGCCCCTCTCACCCTGCCTCTGTGGCAGGGCATTCCCCCTTGTTCTCTCTCTCTCCTTCTGGGTGTTGTGGTTTGCAAAAGAGCCATTGAGTGGCAATTATGTTTGGTCTATAGTCTACTTTCAGCATGCTTCTCCCATCCTGGGAGGCTCCTCCCAACACCCTTTATTTGGTGCTCCCTTCTCTATCTGAGCTCCCTTTTTCCCTAGCATGTGTAGCTGGCCTCCAAGCCATGGAGCAAAATTCCTGCTACTAATCTCGGCCATTCTTGGGTGTTAGTCTCCTACTTTGTTACTTTATGTTCCCCAGATGAATGCAGTCTTTCTATGTTTATCTCTCTCTTTCTGACTCATTTTCTTAACATGATACTTTCCATGTAGTACAACTTTTATATGATTTCATGATTTCATCTTTTCTAACAGCTGCATAGTACTCCATTGTGTAGATCTACCAAAGCTTCTTTAACCAGTCATCTGTTCTCGGGCACTCAGGTTTTTTCCAGATTCTGTGTATTGTAAACAGTGCTGCAATGAACAAACAAGTGCAGATGTCACTTTGACTATACATTTTTGCCTCTCTGGGATATATTCCCAGTAGTGGTATTGTTGAGTCAAATGGGAGATCAAATTCTAATTTTTTGAGAATCTTCCATACTGTTTTCCAAAAGGGTTGGACCAGTTGGAATTCCCTCCAGCAGTGAAGGAGGCTCCCTTTCTCGCCACATAGGTGCCAGCATCGGTTGCCTTTGTTCTTGTGGATGTGGGCCAGTCTCTGTGGTGTGAAATGATATCTCATTGTTGTTTTGATCTGCATCTCCCTAATGATTAGTGATGTGCAGCATTTTCTCATGTTCTCTTTAGCCATTCGGATTTCTTCTTTGAGAAAGTTTCTGTTCATTTCATGACCTCATTATTTGATGGGGTTGGATGTTTTCTCCTCGTGGAGTTCAACCAGTGCTTTGTATATCCTTGATATCAACCCCTTGTCGGATGTGTATTCGGCAAATATCCTTTCCCATTCTGTAGACTGCCTTTGTATTTTGGTCACTGTTTCTTTTGAGGTGCAGAAGCTTCTTAGTTTAAGATAGTCCCATTTGTCTATCTCTGTTTTCACTTGTTTTAGCCTACACTCTTGACAGGCCCTATCTAAGTTTAGTTGTTAAAGTCTGGTCTCTTTAAGATCCAGTGTTGTTGACTCTGTGGTTTGGATATTTAGTACTATCATTCCTTAACACCACCCTGTTGTATCTGAAATCCCCTGACCTGGGCCCTGTTGCTTCTCATCTGTCTTTTTCTCCCACGTCTCCTCTCATCCACTCTTTCTCTTTCCTATACTCAGGGGCCAAGGTTGATCAGGGAAACCCCCTCTTTAAAACATTGTGTTGTCTTATCCAGTTATTCCTAAATACCATATATAAGTAATGTCATCCTGTGTTGATCCTTCTTCTGGCTTTATTTAACATGATGTCTTTCAGCTCCATCCATGTTGCTGCGATTTGCATGATTTCACCATTCCTTATAGCTCTGTAATATTTCATTGTGCATATATACCACATAATCACGATCTAGTTATCTGTCATTGGATATCTTGGTTGATTCCAAATCTCCTGTACTGAGTACTACAATAAGTAATGGTGCGCATACATTTTTTGAATGAATGTTCTTCTATCCTGTGGTTAGTTATCCAAAAGCAGAAGTGCTGGTTTATCTAAAGCTCAATTCTGAATTTACTGACTACTCTTCATGCTGTTTTCCATTGGGTTGGGCCAGACAACATTCCCACCATCAGTGTATGAGAGTTCCCTTTTCACCACATGCCCACCAGTAGAGATTGTTCCCAGTATTTTTGATATTTGCTCTTCTCACTTGTGTAAGATTACATCTCCTTGTTGTCTTGACTTTGATTTCCCTAATAACTGGTGATGAGTAGTTTTTCAAATTTCTGTTGGCCATCCATTGATCTTGCTCAGAGAAGTGTCTGTTCATTTCCTCTTCCCAACAACAAAAAAAATTATTTGTTAAAGATATTCATATTTTTCCTAGATTAAAAATTTTCTGAATTTGAAAAAGAAGTTCCACTTATCTTTTCTTAGGTTATTATGAAAATGTTTTCTCTTTTGTTTTGCAGATGTTTTGTTTCAAGAGTATTTTATATATTATATATTTTATATAATTATAATTTTCTCCTTTCAAGACATTCAATATAGTTTCTTTTAGTCTCTGTAGAAACGCTGGAAAAGAATTTGAAGCAGATGGGAAGGCAGCTCCAACAGCTTGAGAAAGATTTGGAAACCTTTCCCCCTCCTGAGGACTTGCATGATAAGTTTGTGACAAAGATGTCTATATCCTTTTGATGTCAAAATAATAAGTCAACTAGAATAGTAATTTATTAATTTTAATATTTTTGCATAATAATCTATTATACATCATCAAATCATGGATAATTGAACCTTAGCTTGTTTCAGGAAAACTTACCAGTTTTTATTTATCATGAATAATTCACAAATAAGCTTTCTACTGATTTCAAGGTTGTTTTTTTTTATGAACTTGTATAATATTTTTTCATATTTTTCTCTTCCTATGTCTTCCTTCTGATGTTGCTGATGAATTAGGCTATAAAAACTGTGTGAGGATTTTTTTTTTAAGTAAAGTAGTGTTATTAAGTTACTTTCAGATGCTTTAAGAACCAGAAACAGACTTTGGAAATGATGTTTCCAATAGTCAACTAAAATTCCAGGTTCATATTATAGATGAGAGAATATTTTCACTTCTAAATTATTTGGCTGATCTGGTAAATAGAAAACAGATTCACATGAGAAAAATTAATTTTGTCCAGGAGGTGAAATATATAAGTGAGACTCAGTGGTAAGTCAGGCAATTGAGCCCTTTATGGCATCCTCAACTAAAAAATGTGGTAGATTTGAACCTTCAAATTGGAGGATGGCAATCAGGAATGTAAGAAGAACACATTTTTGCCTTTCAGATGTTCAGATATTTGTTTTTCCATGTGAGTTCAGGGTCAGACAGAGAATGTAGAAGAATAGAGGACATTCCTTAGAGGCAGGAACCCCAGAATTTCATGGTTCTCCAGAAACTTCCAGAGGTAACCACTATTCACTGTCAGATGTGAGCCCAAACAATAAGTGAAACATAATGAAACAGAAGTATATCTGTATATTTTTAATTAATAGCATAAAATGTGTGTCCTACTTAATTTTAGATTCCTTTTGAATTTCAATATGTGGTTTATCTAACTTTGTGATTCAATCTTTAATGAGTAATTGAAGTAATATTATTTTTAATGTCTTGTAATTAATGTTCATTTGCATACTATTCTTTTAAAATATACTGACATTTTTTCTTCTATAATAAACTATAACAACTCTGCATTATTAAAACCGCCCTTAAAATTTAGAATTTTGTAAGACAGTGTAGCCCACTTCTGTACACTCTTACAGTTACTTTTTTATTATTTTAAATAGAAATACTTTAAAATAACTACATTTCCTCTTTCTGTTACTCCTCCCCTGAGATTTAGGAAATCATAAAATTATTATTTGTCTTGTCATAGATTTTTATTGTATATGCTTTCAGCTTAATTGTGAATTAGTTCAATTTTAAATTTCTTCACTGTCTCTTTTGGGAAATACCATAAAAATGCACTCCAATAACAATCAATCCCAGCTAATTTGTTTCCTTCCGTATCTCTCCTACCCATCCAGTTTCTTCTTTCATTAGGCAGGGTGCTTTTATCTTTTCACTAGAGAAGGCTGTTATTTTAAAACTAAATATTGAGTCTATTTATTTATCAGAAACTATTTTTATAGTACCTTCTCATTTGTCAGAGTATTCATTTTTAAACTAAATTTGTCGTAACAAAGTTATAGTCATTCTATTACTCATAGCTTTTTCTCTCCCGAATCATTTTTATCATATTAAAATATTCATATGTGATAGTTTATTGTAATCATTAAGTATTGTTCATTGAAGTACTTGTTATTATTCCCTATAGGTAGAAACCATTTTAGAAAAGGTTTTGCTTGTATTCCATTTCTAATAATTTGCTGTTTAGACTAATTCTGAATCTCAGGCTTCTGGAACATAAAACCTAAAAGAAATTCTTTGCTTAGAGTAAAGGTTATAGACTCTTGCTCAGCAGACAATCTCAGGATCTATCCATACTTGTATTTATATGTCAGAAAACGCTGAATGATATTGGCCCCTTGAAAGGTATGCAGCTCATAAAATGCAGCCAGCAGGAAATCAGAAACAGGAAGGATGATGCTTTGTTGGAAACAATTTTTCATTCTGAGTACAATTATACTCCATGGACAAGAAAGCTACTACATCCTGTCGCTAAATATCACAACCTAGAAGACTCTAATGAACTGATTAGCATTCATGTATCTCTTGGAAGTCAGATATATGAACAGTTGGTGCACTTTGCTATTGACAAAGCTTATAATCATAAATATTCTTTGCTGAGATTAGATTGCACTCGTTTGCTTTTCATCTTAGACATACTAGTTTCAAAGTAATTAAATTCATTCATTGCAAAGCTTTGTTTACTTTAATTAGGACTGACAACAAGTCAGATTCTGAATATTAGATGCATTTATATGGATCTTATTAAAATGGTAAATTGTGAGCTTTTTAGGTTTTAGGAATCAAAGAAACTGAAAACTAAAATGTACAAAGAAATAAAATGTACTTGAAG